CGAGTGAATGATCCACACGCAAAGCAATTTGATATTAGCAACTCTGTGGGATACAGGTAGCTGAGTAAGGCATGCAGAGGTTAAATGGTCTGCTAGAGGCCACCCAGCAAGTGAGTGGTTGAGCCAGATTTAGAACACAGTTCTAATTAGCTCCTGATTTCCAATTTTGTACTGAGGCAAACCACACTGCCCCCACATACTGATCTTATTCCCTTCACTTTGTCAGACGAAGGTCCCCTTTATATTTTGACCTATCTGAATATATTATTATATTTTGATTAATTTCAAAACCAAATGAGGCAAGCTAGTAAGAAGTACTCAATTATAGAAATTAAACTTGACATCAGACTCTTGTACTGTAGTGAATTTGAGAGCTATAGAGCTCAGGAAAAAGATGAAATTCCAAAGAGTAAGGTTGGAAGACAGAGCCTAAAAGAATGAAGACAGAGAGTATATAGGAGGATAAGTAAGAAGGGCATGGTGTCTGCAGTCAAGTAGCTCAGAGTTTAGAGTAGGATCTAGAGAGATTGGCTGATCATTTCAGTACAATGTGGCAAACCCAGGGTGCTATGAGAGCCTGAGCAATTAGGAAAAGCTCCCCAGCTTGGACAAAAGCATGGAGGAGTAAAATAACAAGGTGGGTGGTGTCAGGCCTCTGAGCCCAAGCTAAGCCATCATATCCCCAGTGACCTGCATGTGTACATCCAGATGGCCTGAAGCGACTGAAGATCCACAGAAGTGAAAATAGCTTAACTGATGACATTCCACCATTGTGATTTGTTTCTGCCCCACCTTAACTGATCGATGTACTTTGTAATCTCCCCCACCCTTAAGAAGGTTCTTTATAATCTCCCCCACCCTTAAGAAGTTGCTTTGTAATTCTCCCCACTCTTGAGAATGTACTTTGTGAGATCCACCCCCTGTCCCCAAAACATTGCTCTTAACTCCACCACCTATCCCAAAACCTGTAAGAACTCATGATAATCCCACCACTTTTGCTGACTCCTTTTTCGGGCTCAGCCCACCTGCAACCAGGTGAAATAAACAGCCATGTTGCTCACACAAAGCCAGTTTGGTGATCTCTTCACATGGACACGTGAAACAGGTGGGTGTTGGTGAAGAACTTTAACTTGAAGAAGTGGATAGGTCATGAGGCGCTATCTCTTATGCAACACAACAGCAACACATTTGTTCAACATGTGTCTAGTACGTGTGTGTGCATGCGCTCCAAACGCTATTCCATGTATTGAGGGTACATTAGTGAACACAATGAACACAAATTCCTGGACTCGTAGAGCTTATATTTTAGTGGAGAGAAATACTAAATGTTAAATAAGTCAATTAAATGGTATGTTAGAAGATGGTAAATGCTTAAGGAAAAAGGGTACCTCAAGCCAGGTGATCAAGGTTAACGTGAACAGTAGTAAGTCATGTTCATAGTATATATCCTTAATATTATATGATGAGAAAAACATCAAACAAATCCAAAATGAGGGACATTCTATGAAATACCTGACTAGTACTCCTCAAAACTGTCAAAGACATCAAAAAAAGGTAAAGTCTGAGACACTATCATAGCCAAGACAAGGCCCAAGAAACATGACAACTAAATGTCATGTGGTATCTTGTATAGGATCCTGGAATAGATAGAGGACGTTAGGGAAATTTGAAGAATTTTGAAGAAAGTATAACTTAAGTTAATAATGATGTAACAATATTGGTTCATTAATTGTGAAAAATGTATCATACTAATGTAAGATGTTACATAGAGGAAACTGAGCATGGGGTATATAGAAACTGAGTGTATTATCTTTGTAATAATTCTATAGATATAAAACTGTTGACCGGGAGTGGTGGCTCATCCCTGTAATCCTAGCACTTTGGGAGGCCAAGGCGGGCAGATCACCAGAGTTCAAGAGTTCGAGACCAGCCTGGCAACATGGGGAAACCCCGTCGCTACTAAAAATAAAAAAATTAGCCAGGCATGATGGCAGACGCCTATAATCCCTACTACTCAGGAGGCCGAGGCAGGAGAATTGCTTGAACGCGGTGGGCTAGAGGTTGCAGTGAGCTGAGATTGTGCCACTTCACTCTAGCCTGGGCGAAAGAGCAAAACTCCGTCTCAAAACAAAAACAGATACAAACAAAACTGTTTTAAAATGAAAAGTTTATTTAAACAAAAGCAGAGTAAGGGAGATCAGGAGTCTAGGGCAGAGAAGGACATTATGATTTTAAAGAGGGTGGTCAGGGAGGTGACGTCAGAGAGTTGTCCGTGTTGGGGTGTCTGGGGGAACAGCAAATGCAAAGGCCCTGAGGTGAAAACTTGCCTGCATGTTTAAGAACATCCTCTTCCCTTCTTTGGGCCTCAGTGGCTTCTTCTATGAAATACTAAGGTTGAAAAGATAATCCCAAAGGCCAGTTTCCTTGTCTAACAGTCTGTGGCTTTAGACCATGTGGGTTAGAAGTATTCCACCAACCAGCATGGCCAACAATGGTTATATACATTCTTTTTTTTTTTCTTTGAGACAGGGTCTCGCTCTGTTGCCCAGGCTGGAGTGCAATTGTGCGATCTCAGCTCGCTGCAACCTCTGACTCTCTGGTTCAAATGATCCTCCCACCTCAGCCTCCTGAGTAGCTGGGACTACAGGTGCACACCACCATGACTGGCTCATTTTTGTATTTTTAGTAGAGATGAGGTTTCACCATGTTGGCCAGGCTGGTCTCAAACTCTTGGTGGATCAAGTGATCTGCCTGCCTCCCAGAGTGCTGGGATTACAGGCATGAGCCACTGCACCTGGCCTGTTATATACTTCTAACCAGCCTGCAAATACCAAGCCAGAAGCATAAAAAATAATATATCTAGATAGTTCGATAAATCAAAAAAAAGAGAAAGAAACAATTACTTTGAAGGTTATTTACACTTTCTCTGTCATGAGTAAAGACTGAATTTGAAACATTGGATGAGAAAAGGAATATCAGTAATCTTCAGTGAACAACTTAATACTCTGAACCTTGGAGCCTCTTATACATTGGGAAACTTGTACTTTGTTTATGTTCGTTTCAGTTTTTAGTAAGGAAAGAATGAAAAGTTTTAAGATTTATTATATTTATGTATATTTCTGTCTCTGGTATACAAGATGAAATTGAAAAATATCCCAAGTTTCAAAATTATAGAAGCACTAAAACCCTGTTACACAGTTGGAGAGACTGAAGGTTTAACTTTAGACTCAGAAAAAATAACCCTGTTTACAGCTAGAAATGTTTTATAACTAGTATATAGTTCTAAAAATAAATCTATGCCTTGCTTCATGAAGTACTAACATAAATATCAAAATATGTAAAAGTAGACAAATTCATAGTCATTATCACTTTGCAGGAGGTTCTATAGAGATCCTATGAACTGCAAACCTCCTTGATACATCTAAAATAAAGGTCTGTATATATGAGTTTAATTTACATATGTTAAGCTAAGTAGATTGGTGCTGTTGATATAAATGTAATGGTTTAATGACCTAAGTGGAAAAAATGAATTTAATCATAAAAATTGTGAAGTTTTTACAAAGAAACCACATCTATGTACATTTGTGACAACATGTATGTATTAGTCCATTTTCATGCTGCTGATAAAGATATACCCCTAGACTGGGCAATTTACAAAAGAAAGAGTTTTATTGGACTTACAGTTCCACATGGCTGGGGAGGCCTCACAATCATGGTGAAAGGTGAAAAGCATGTGTCATGTGGCAGCAGACAAGAGAAGAACTTGTGCAGGGAAACTCCTCTTTTAAAACTATCAGATCTCGTGAGACTTATTCACTATCACAATAACAGCACGGGAAAGACCTGCCCCCATGATTTGATTACCTCCCACTGGGTCCCTCCCACAACACGTAGGAATTCAAGATGAGATTTGGGTGGGGACACAGCCAAACCATGTCAATATATAATGGTGTTGCTAGTTGCCTAGTTTTGCCTACTTGTAAGTAGTTAAGGATTTAAAAAGCCCTTGCCTAGTTGTTTTATTTTTATTTTTATTTTTTTGGTAAAGATACAAAGGTATGTGTGACAGTTGGACACTTGAAATGTGACTAGTGTAACTGAGGAACTTTGATTTTACTAAATTTAAATTTGAATGGTCATAATGGCTGCTGTCTACTGTACTGGACAGCATCACTGTCAAGGTCTGCTCTAATTTGGCCCGGCCTTGGTAATCTAGTATTTGAAAGCATGGGTTACTACTTATGTAGGATTCTTTCTGCCCAGGTAGAGATGTAAGGTTTGGAACTTGAGTTCTGTAGAGAGAAAAGGATGAACTCAAGCCTGCCACTCAGGCCGTGACTTCACCTTAAGCTCTTAGACACCCTGCAGACCGGACCCATACTCTGAGGCCGATCCTGGAAGTCTCGGGGAGTTTGGAGCCTGAAACTCTAAGAACGCCAGAGCAGTTCTGAAGTCCAGAGTCATCATCAAGCATTATATAATCTAAGTCTAAGAAGCACAAGCACAGTCACATTTGGATTTAAAAGAAGGGCAGAACCTTCTTCTCTGCTTCCCTGTGGCACCTTTAAACCCAGCAAATCATCAGTGCCTTCAAAGTTGGTGAAAGGACTCAGGCATTTATGACTTTTAGACTGATTACGATACAGTCCCAGTCACAGAATTCCTAGTCTCTTTTGCTTACTATTTTAGGTCAGCATATCAGAGATTTGCCAGGGCAGTCTTTTCACAAATGCTCTCAAAGCATTTTCTCTGTGTGAGTAAAAGCTATTGACCTTAATTCCTCTTATCAAGTGCTCCTCCCTGCTCCGTTTAAGTTTTTATCCAAAGCGGGTAGTGATATGTATTCCTGACAATGGCACTTCTGTGTAGGTGTTGTCTGCCTTTGTGCTTGACTGCCATAGAACGGACGGATGTAGAAGTGGGAAAGCAATTCGGCAGATTTGTGTACTGTAGAATACAATGAACCATGTGCCAACATTATCCTGTTTATTTTCTTCCAGGAAATCAAGGATTGGCATGGCGTTGCTTTGACAAGTACTTCCTGTTGTCTTCACAGAGGTCTTGCTGAAGAATAATCTCAAAGGAACATTTGGTCTCCCTATACATCTGTTAATGTCCATTAGCCAGTAGCAAATGCTTTTAATTACTGGGAAAACATCAACCACCTTTGTGTTTGGCCTGCTCCAGGAAGCCCAATGAAGGTTTCTTCCAGTTGTTTCCATAGCTGTATTGCTGAAGCACCCCTCTTGGGTGAATGTTCATGAAGCCATTTCTGGAACCAGCTTAGGAGGCTGAGGCCTCCTGGAGCCTGTGACATGGAAGCTTTGGAAGTGGATGATATCAGCCCGGCCTTAGAAGTTACAGAGGAGTTCTTTAGTACTTTGGATAGTAAGCTAGAAAAGGCTGTGCAGCAAGCAGAGGTTTATGGGATCCAGGAAGTCCCTGAACTGGTGGGGCATGAGGTACTCAGTAACATAACAGACAATGGTGCTATGAGAAATGTCACCTCCCTGGGCAAGGGGGGCATGATTTGGGACCACTGTAAGAGCAGGCTCTTAGAAACCAAAGCTCAAAATGTCTTCCCTGCCAAAGAACAGTTTATGGTCCAGAGAGGGACAACCCCAGATAATCTTTCCTGGATGGAACAAAAGGAAGCATCAACCTTTAATTTTTTCAATATCTGTCAGCGTCGGAGGGACCGGCCTCGTTCTGTAAATGACTTACTGGATGAGACCTCAACTTTCAAGCCAGGGCATGCTCGATCACGATCAGATATTACCCAAGTGGATTGGAGGGTGGTCCTCAAAACCACGCCTCTGCAGCAGCAGCAACAGCAGCAGCCATCGCTTCAAGGCCCGCACGTCACCAGGCCATCTTTTCTGTTGCCCTCACCAAATAAGATAGAAGATGCTCAAGGAAATACCGGTATGTTTTTAAATTTTATTTATTTATTTCCTTTTTTTTTTTTCTTTTGGAGCTGTGACTCAGATAAGCTTGTATGTTTTTATATCTGACTTCTACTGAATCATTGCTGATTTTTCCTTTGTCTCTCTTAATCTGCCTCACGAGAATCTTACGCTCCAGCATCCACATCTGGCCTTGCTTATCTAAGCTCCCTCTTCCATTTTCTTATGTACTTTACCAGGCCTCAAGTCAACAGTCTTAGTATCTTCCTAAGAGGTATTCAGTGAAAAGACAATTATGGTAAATTCTTCCTTTCTAATCTTGTATGTTAGAATACTGTCATACTTAATGTATTAATAGTATTTTCCTGTGCACATTGTATGATACTGCCTATTCTTACAGTAGATCATACGTTGGGCTGAGCGTATGCTAGGAAGGATTTAAAGATGTGTGAAGACACAATCCCTGCCCTAAAGAACTTTTCATCTAGCTGAGGGGATCCAACACCAGCAAAGACTCAAGAAGGTACTTGGTAATGAGAGACAGTAGATGGGCCATTGAAATGTGTGGGAGGGGCTTTCATTTTACTGTCCATATAAGAGTGAGTGGCAGTGACCATAAGAGGACAGAAGAAGGAGAAGACACTGTGGGTTGGGCTTCTCAGGAAGGGCTTGGCTTGCAAGGGGACATGGAACTTGAGCTACATCTGGAAGGACACTAAGATGCAGACAGAGCATCACAGGACATGGCACTTGGTCAGGGTTACAGCGTAAACAAAGGTGGGAAGAAGGGCGTGCAGAAGAGAGCAAGCAGACCCTGGCAAGTATAGCAAAGGACCCTGTAGCCAGCAGTGACAGGAAATGGCTGGAGAGGGTGGTTAGGCCCTCCCTCATGGCAGAGGGTCTTGAATTTCCTTTCTCCTCATACTTTATTCACATATGTGTGCACATGAATACGTACTCATGAACTTGCTCTTCTGTGAGACACAACAAACTCTCTCTCCATTTTCCCCAGAATTTCCTTTGAGATAATCTCATTTATACAGGCTATCAATTTTTATTACTAATGACTCTCAGTCACCCTACTCAACCTTTAATGTAGATGACTTCTACTCAATTAACTGGGAGACCATTTTTGGTACTTCACTGCTGTTTTAGTATTACTTCAGTTTCTCTCATTGCATGGTATTCTATTGATGCATTCAACATTTTAATTATAAAAATTAGCTTATAAGTGTAACCCAAGGCAAGGATATAGTTTAGTATGTCTGTTAAGGAAATACAGTGTTCCTGAAATTCATCCTTTTCAAATCCTTTATTTTTTACACTCTAATTCATGACTTGTAATTCCTTGTCTTCTCTGCTAGGCTCTCACCAGTCTTACATCTAACCAAGGGTAGTGACCATGGGAGTGAAAAGAAAAGGATGTTATATATATTTTTTCTTCTTTTAAAATCTGTTTTTTTAGAGACAAGGTCTTGTTGTCTCCCAGGCTGGAATACGATGGTGTAATTGTAGCTCATTGCAGCCTCAAACTCTCAGGCTCATGGGATCCTCCAACATCAGCCTCTCAAGTAGCTGGGACTACAGGCAGGCCCGGCTAATTTTTTCAGGTTTTTTTAGAGATGGGGTCTTGCTATGTTGCTATGGCTGGTCTTGAGTTTCTGTGCTCAAGCAATCCTTCCATTTCAGCCATCCAAGTAGCTGGGATTACAGGCATGAGCCACCACACCTGGCTAAAAAAAGGATATTTTAAAGCACAGTACTTGACGACTGATTAGATATTAAGGGACATGGCGGGGCATGGTGGCTCATGCCTGTAATCCCAGTACTTTGGGAGGCTGAGGCAGGCAGATCATTTGAGGTCAGAGACCAGTCTGGACAACAAGGCAAAACCCTGTCTTTACTAAGAACAAAAATTAGCTGGGCTTGGTGGCACGCTCCTGTAGTCCCAGCTACTTGGGAGGCTGAGGCATGAAAATCGATTGAACCTGGGAGGTGGAGGTTGAGCTGAGATCCCGCCACTGCACTCCAGCCTGGGCGACAGAGCGAGACTGTCTCAGGAAAAAAAAAAAAAAAAAAAAAAGATGTTAAGGGACATACAAGTTGCTGTAAGCCCAGTGCCTAGCAGAATGATAGCTTTGCCTTGAGCTCATATACAAGCAGTTGCACCTTCTGATTAGCAAATAACCTCAGTAGTTTTTTGGTTTCTTGGCATTCATTTAGGTTTTTAATCACAAAGCCTCCTTAACCATCCTAAATCCCTGGTGTAGCCCAAGTTAAGAGGGTGTCATATTTCCAATTTTATTTTTCCTAGCTTGTTTTGATGGTAAATACAAGAACTCAACTTTCCTTAGGCTCTCTAAAGACCTGAACTGCTATTTTGAGTGCTCTACAGACCATGATAATTATTTAATTCTCATGTTTAAAAAAGTGTAATATTAAATTATGTTGAAATATGAGAACTGAGTGGTATTTTGAAAAGTCAACTGTAACAAATGGCATTTGCAAGTATCAATATAATATATTCTGACCACCATTTATTTATTTATTTTTAAATTTTTTTCCAACAGGGTCTCACTTAGTTGCCCAGTTTGGAGTGCAGTGGTGTAAATTATAGCTCACTGCAGCCTCAGTCTCCCAGGCTCATGCAATCCTTCCACCTCATATAGCTAGGACTACAGGCGTGTGCCACCATGCCTGGCTAATTTATTATTATTATTATTTTTAGTAGAGACAAGGTCTTGCTATGTTGCCCAGGCTGGTCACAAACTCCTGCGCTCAAGCAATCCTCCTACCTAGGCCTCCCAAACTGTTGGGGTTACGGGCGTGAACCACTGCTCCCAGCTATTGCCACCTTTTAGTCATCCAGGAGATAGCGAATGTGGGTAAATGGCATGCCAAGTTTTTGACACCTTTTCTTTCTGGCATTTTCTGGAGAGCAGGCAAGATAAATCATGTTCCTATTGCCCATCAGTTGAAGGGCAGGGGCAAGCAGTGGCCACCCATTTTCAGGCTGCAGTTCTAGATTGCATGGCTGATCACTTATTCTCACAAGCTGGTATTCTCACAAGCATTCGTGGAGGGGTGTGCCAATATCCAGGTGCCTGCTAGTCAAAATCAGCCAAAATCTCTGAGTAAAATTTACTTTAAAACCTTTTAAGTTAGTAATCCGAACTGAAGAAAGACTCATTGTTTCTCCTGAGGAATATGCCAAAAGCAGAGGGAGGCAGTGCAGTACCTTGGCTAGAGCTGGAGGTGAGGACCCAGGAGATTTGGGGTCAGGTAAGACCTCTTCCTTGAGCTGCAGACTTGCATCTCCAACTGCCTGGTGAGCATTTTTATTGGAATGTACCACAGGCACCTCAAATTCAAAGTATCTCAAATGACTCATAATCCTCCTTTCTCCCACTCCTGCTGTTCTTAGTTAACAAGGGTTAATGAAAGGCTGGGGGCTCCTCAGAAGAAATAAAATTTTGTCAGTGTGTTTCTTTTGACGAGGTTTTGTGTCTAGCCCAGTCATTCTCTTACTTGCGGGTGTTATTACTGCATGGTTATGTTTTCTCCAGTTAATGTTCATTTTTTTTACCTAGCTCCTTTTCTGAACTCACCTTGAATAGCTTAAAGGCTTATCGAAGTGCGTCTTCCCTCATCTGCTCCTTCTTCCTACCCCGCTTCATCCCTTTCCTTCCTCCTGTAACAAGTCAGAGGATCTTCTTCATCAGGTAGGGCCTCTGCATCTTCTGTCTCAATTGGTGATGAATAATCAGGCTCTTGAGCCTTTCTGAGGATAAATGCTATTTTGGGTACATAAAGCAAATTGGGCTCAGGTATAATGAGGGCTGTGGGTAGCTAGGGTGTAGCAGCTATTTTGCTAATAGGGAAGCCTGGTCTGAAGGAGGCCTTCTGGTCAAACAAAGTAGCATATTTGTTAGAAACACTGACTCTAAACCTAGACTGCTAGAGTCTCCAACTTTGCTCTAGTACTTACTAGTTGTATAACATAGGGCAGGTTTCTTAATCACTCTGTACCCCCATGTTAATTTTTTTTTTTTTGGACATAAAGTATCAGGTAATGGTAGTACTGACCTCAATTTCTTGTGGTCATTAAATGGGTTAAAACATCTACAGTGCTTCTTAGAACCATGTTCAGTATGCTTGAACACTTAATAAAAGTTGTAAACATTGAATGATATTATTGTTACTATTATAAATTGAATTTGAAATCCATCAATGAGAATCAAAGTGACACTAACAAGCACTTCAAGGTTTTTTTTTGTTATAAAATGGGCCTCACAATAAATATTTCTTGAAATGAATTGGCCTTCCTGTGGTATACTTTCTCATAGTTATTAACTGGTTTGTTAATGGGAAATAGACCATTCTTTCCCTCTCTCATACTGATTTGTGATGAACTACTTAATTGTCATTCACACCAGAGTTTATAGTCACTGATAGAAGTGATTGTTTCTTACCCATTTGTTTTTCTTTCTTTTTAAAGTTACTTTTCACCTGAGAATTTTACCCATTGTTTTATCTTCAGTATCTAACTTAGTGCTTTGAACATGTGCTCAAAAATATGTGCTCAAAAATTTTTTTAATGTAAAATGAATGTAATCCTGGTAAGAACTAAGCTGATAAATTAAAGACATTAACTTCTTTAGCTGGTTTGTGTCTTTCTAGAAAAAATGACTCCACCCTCTTTTCTGACATCCTCCCTTTCTCCACCTTCACATCAACATTAAGCATTTGTACACCCTCTCTGTGAAGCTCTGTAGCAGCAGTAAATACTGAAAAATGAAGATAGGCTTTTGTCTCAAAAGCTGTCCTGATAAGAGAAAATCAAACATTTTTTATTTTCTCTCCCCGTGTTCACTTCCCCCTCCCTGACTGTGTGTGGCTTATAAAGTGCCCCTAACATTGGAAGAATGTGACTCTGGTCTTGGAGAGCTTGGAGAGCTATTTAGATACCATTTCAGACTCCTGAGTTGCGTTGGCACAATTAAGATTTCCCTTCTTACA